ATGTATGTATGTATGTATATTTTTTAAATTGTGATTTGGGTGAAAGTTTACAGAGCAAATTCACTTTCCATACAGTAGTTCAAGTTCACATACACTTTGTTTTGTAACATTGCCTACAGTTTACCACAATGCAACAGGTTCCCTCCCACTTCCTCCCCATAGTTGCCTCTTCCCTGTGTCCTTCCCTCCTATGCACTCCTGCCCCCCCGAGCTGTCTCCCTGTGCATACACAGCCTTCTATTCTGCCATCATTGTTCTCTCCCAGGAGTGTATCTACCTAATGTAAATGTTTAGCTCATATGGCTTTCTTTTGTTTGGCTGGAAGCCACAGGAGTGGGTTCAATTCCAGACCTGAAGGGCAGCTAGGGGCCATAGTCTCAGTGGTTTTATCAGGCTCTATCACACCAGCAAACCTCGTCCCTTTTTTTTTAATTGTGATTTGGGTGAAAATTTACAGACCAAATTCACTTCCTATACAGCAGTTCACATATACTTTGTCTCATGACTTTGACCACAATTCACCACAATGCAACAGCTCCCCTCCCACTTCCTCCTGACAGTCACGTCTTCCTGTGTCCATCCCTCCATGCACCTCTGCCCCCTGAGCTGTCTCCCTCTGCCCAAACAGCCCTTCTTTCTCCCGTGATTGTTCTCTCCAAGGAATGTATTTACCTGAGGTAAATGTTCAACTCCTATGCCTGTCTTTTGTTTGGCTGGAAGCCGCAGGTGTGGGTTCAGTTCCAGACCTGAAGGGCAGTTAGGGGCCATAGTCTCAGTGATTCTACCAGGCTCTATCAGACCAGCAAACCTGGTCTCCTCCCCCCTTTTTTTTTCCAACTGCTTTTGAGTTTTGTTCCACATTATTCTCCCTCTCTATCCAGGGTCTCCTACATAGATTCCCCCTCTGAGTGGTTGACATTGGTAGCTGGGTACCTTCTAGTTCTTCTGATCTCTTAGTCATATAGGCTGCAGATTGCATAGTGTACCAGTCGCTGGGACTAATTCTTTCCATGAATCCTTGGTTTTCTTCATTCTTCTTTGCGCTGGATGAGGAGAGACCCATCTTTGCATCTAGATGGCTGCTTGCAGGCTTTTAAGATCCCAGTCACTACTTGCCAAAGTGGGAGGTGGAACAACGTTTTGTGTAGTGTGTGAAGCCAATGAGCTTGATGTCCCCTGTGACTATGGTTCCGAGCCCGCAGGTTCAACTACTTGGTCCCTCTGGGTAGCTGGCTGTGACTAAGAAGTGACTACAACCTTGTCCCTTGTCAGCTCTACTATACACCTGGGAATTCTTGCAGATCAAACATGGGTATATGAGTGGACAGACAGGTGGACAGGCTGAACTAGTAGATGTATCTATGAAGTGGGGAGTACACCCAAGACCAGGTATAGGGTTGGCAGACAATGGTCCTATAAGTGTATTTGTATGATCTGAATTCCCAGATGTATGGTATTAGATTGTTAAGTGCCTGCCTAAGGCACTTGACTATTAAGGCATTTGACTGCTAACCAAAAGGCTGGTGGTTCAAACCCACCAGCCACTCCTCGGAGTGAAGGTTGGGCGATCTACTTCCATAGTGATACCACCTCGGAAACCCAAGGAGGGGTCATTATGAGTGGGATCTGACTCATTGGCAGTGAGTTTGGTTTGGTTTTGGTTAAGCACAAGACCAACAGTGGGAAAAATGGTACCAGACCAGACATTGTTTCATTCTGTTGTTTCATACTATCCAGAGTATTACAGGTCCTCACCGTACCAAGGAAACTGTCGGGTCCTGCCCTGCAGTATTTAAAGTTTGTATGTCTGTGACCACTGGAACCTCAGCTTTCCTTATGGATTTGTTTATAGCCATCCAATTTGCGATTTAAATAATTAGTAAATGATCTTGTCGGAATGGTGTGATGAGTGAATTGAGTGAATGAATGAGTATTTTCTTTTAAGAGACAGGCAAGCTTTAGAGTTGAGGAGAATCCAGTAGCTGTAGGTTTTTTCATTCTATCTGCAACATTTTTTGTAAGTGAGAAAGAGCTATTTTGATGTGTTTAACTGTGGCTTGGGCTTCTGAGAGCTAGAAAGATACTATTTTGTAAAAAAAAAAAAATAAAATAATTTATTAACAATGTGAACTAAGGAGCAAAATAAATAAAATAACATTTTGTTAAGTTTTTATTGGTACATTGGCATTTAACATTATCAGCAACATGGATTGTGGGAATAACAATATGCATATGAAGATTTAAATGCGGTCACGCTTTCCTAGCAGTGACTAACAGGAGTAAAATTAAAAGTGGCTAGCAAATAATATGAATGCAGGTTTTTTAAAAAAGTGTAATGTTAAAAATAGATTTCACTTAAAGAAATTAACGGTTAAGAATGATTCTATTAAAAGATGAATATTTGCATCATTATTTTGTGTTTTAAATGTTAGGATTGCTGTTGCAAGCTCAAAGATAATACTTATTTTTTATTTGTAGAATAATAAATGTCGTAGGCTTTATTCCATCATGCTTCATTATAGTAACCTTATCAAACGTATGTGTAATTAATTGGGGATTAAAAGGCTTGTTCCACTTTGGTAAAGAGAAATTAATTAATTAACTGTTTACTTTAAAGCTACAGAAGAAAGAAGATCAGCAATTGGAACTTAAAAAAAGTACCAGCCCTAAAAAAGCTGCAGAGCCCACTGTTGATCTTTTAGGACTTGGTAAGTAATGCAAAATAAAAGTCACCATTAAGAGTTACAAAACAATTTAAACCCTTACTTGAAGTGAATATAATGACTTTATTGTCAATATGCCAAAAGGTACCTGTTAACCCAATTTGAAAATGGTATGATTAGTTTGCTGAGTTTCCACAAAAAAGGAGATCTTTAATAAGGGAGCTGGTGTCTGTCGGCACCATCTTCACTAAAACACAAGTAATGAGTTCCTTGGGGAAAGAGGGAGATATCAAAGTAACCTTCAAAGGCTTGGTAGGCCGTGCATTTCAACATTGAAAACAAAGAGTAGATTTTTACGCCTTCCTTCATTTAAATTTTTTTTTTTTTAATATTTTTAGTTTTGTGAGCAGTTTTTTCCCTTTAGCAAAAGAATTCTATGAAATGTATGAATTTAAAGAAAAATTTAATTTTAGTTAATTGAAGCAACACATTTTACACCTAGACCTAGTGGCTGGATTTATTTCTTCTCTGATGACAATGAGAAACGCTCCCTTGAATGTATTTGTTCTTGTGGCTGGCAGAGATGTGTTGTGAGTCTAGTAAATAAACAGATTTTCATTCAAGAGTTGCTTGTGCTCTACAGTGATTATCTACAAATGTTACCACCTCTTTTTTATGTTTGTTTTCCTCTGTCTTATAAAAGAATTGGTAAAAACTTGATAAAAACTGTATTTAGTAATTATGAGCCTTGGAACAGTAATTTTTTTCCCTAGTTGAAAAAAGACTGACAAAGGAAAATAAAAGGAGGCTGAAGGGATAGACTTTGTACACTGATTTTATAAAAAAAAAAAAAATCATTTTAGTTCTTATTGAATAAATTCTTTTCTGTTTTAAGAATCATAGTTGAAAGTCTTATTCATTTCTTAGGAAACTTGATGCGTCATGCAAACATACTTTCTGGAGGTGGAATTCTTTTATGTTGGTGAAAAGTAGTATATTAGAAATACAAAAAGAATAATTGTAACTTTGGAAATAGACCTCAGTCCTGAGGCCTTAAAGATAATTATGCAGAATGTAGTTCTTATAATTTCTGTGTTTTATTCCTTTGTTGCAAATGATAGAAAAGAAAAAGATATATTTTCAAAGTAAGACTCTATCTTACTAGAACTGTATCCATCTTTTTTTCATTATAGCATTTTCTTTCCAATTGTTTATTAATTTATAATTTAGGAATGTAAAGTATCTACTGTGTGGCCGCACACTGTTGTGTGCACTTGGATATGTTGTTGTTACCAGGTATCACTGAGTTGGTTTTGACTCATAGTGACCCCTGTGTACAACAGAATGAAACACTGCCCAGTCCTGTACCATCCTCACAATCATTATCATGCTTGAGCCCATCTTCACAGCCACTCTGTTAAGCCAAGCCATCTTGTTAAGGATCTTCCCTTTTTTGCTCACCCTCTACTGTGCCCAGCATGATATTCTTTTCCAGAGACTTGTCCTTTCTGACAACATGACCAAAGTATAAAAGATAAAGTCTGGCCATTCTTGTTTCTGTGAAGCATTCCACCTGTATTTCGTCCAAGACAGATTTGTTTGTTCTTCTAGCAGTCCATGGTACATTCCATATTCTTCACCAACATCACACATTCAAATGCGTTCAGTTTTTCTAGGTCTTCCTTATTCATTGCCCAGCTCTCGCATAGGAGGTTATTGAAAATAGCATGACTTGGATCAGGCAGACCTTAGTCTTCAAAGTGGTATCTTTGCTTCTGAGCACTATAAAGAGGTCTTTTGCAGCAGATACAGCTATGATAGAGATGTAGCTATGAAAAAAGCCAGGTCAAAATCTTTGCCCTCTTAGAACTTTCATTCTGATTAGGGAGACACTAAAAAAGCAGTTAAGTACAATATAGGTAACATACAGATAAAAGAAAAACAGGGAGTTGTAATTTAAGGTGGACAGGGAGAATCAAGCTGACACGCAGTGCACTGGTCACTGTTCCCAACAAAGAAAAAATCCGAAAACCTCCAGGGCGAGCAGCGAGCTGTTCACTCCAGGAAGTATATAGTCCGGAATGCCGTTCTTCCAGTTTGTCCCTGGGATAGTATTACAGGTAGGCCACACCCCTGGGGAAACTCCCCCTAGAC